GACCCTCCCCCCTCTCATGTGCTCTCTCTCATTCTCTTTCAAATAAATAAATAAAATCTTTAAAAAATAATAATAATTGTCATCTAAGACTGGAAGAAAATTTAAAAAAAAAAAAAAAGAAATACGACAGAGTTTTGTGTATTGATTTTGTATCTTACAACTTTAATGGATTTGTTTATTAGTTCTGACAGGTTTTTGGTGGAGTTTTTAGGGTTTTCTGTATATAATATCATGTTCTCTGCAAATAGTGACAGTTTTACTTCTTTTCCAGTTTGGATGCCCTTTATTTCTTTTTCTTAACTAATTGCTCTATGACTCTCGGTGCTATATTGAATAAAAGTGGCAAGAATGTGGGCATCCTAGTCTTTTTCTGATCTTAGAGGAAAAACTTTCACCACTGAGTATGATGTTAGCTGTGGGCTGGGCTGGCTTCTCATCTATGGCCTTTACTATGTTAAGATACATTCCCTTTATACACACTTTGTTGAGAGTTTTTATCATCGGTGGATGTTGAATTTTGTCAGATGCCTTTTCTGCATCTATTGAGCTGATCATATGATTTTTTTTTTTTAAAAGATTTTATTTATCCGACAGTGAGAGACACAGCGAGAGAGGGAACACAAGCAGGGGGAGTGGGAGAGGGAGAAGCAGGCTTCCCGCGGAGCAGGGAGCCCGATGCGGGGCTCGATCCCAGGACCCCGGGATCATGACCTGAGCCGAAGGCAGACGCTTAACGAATGAGCCACCCAGGAGCCCCTGATCGTATGATTTTCATCCTCCATTTTGTTAATGTGGTACATTGTGGTTGGCTCCATAGCTCAGGGGTTAGAGCACTGGTCTTGTTAATGTGGTACATTACATCGACTGACTTGTGAACATTGAGCCATCCCTGCATCCCTGGAATAAATCCCACTTGATCATGGTGTATGATCCTTTTAATGGTTTCTTGAATTCTGTGTGCTAATATTTTGTTGAGGATTTTTGCATCTGTGTTCATCAGAGATATTGGCCTATAATTTTCTTTTCTTGTGGCATCTTTGGTTTTGGTATTGGGGTAATGCTGGCCTTGTAAAATAAGTTTGGAAGAATTCCCTCCTCTACTGTCTTTTGGAAGAGTTTTTAAAAAGATGGGTATTAACTCTTTGTTGAATGTTTGATAGAACGCTCCGGTGAAGCTGTGTGGTCCTAGACTTTTATTTGTTGAGAGGTTTTTGATGACCAGTTCAATCTCCTTACTAGCAATTGGTCTGTTCAGATTTTCTATTTCATCATGATTTAGTCTTGGTAGGCTGTATATTTCTGGGAGTTTATCCGTTTCTTCTGTGTTGTCCAAGAAGAATACAAAAGATAATGCTATATATCTGTTAATGTGCTGTATGTACACACGAAAGGGAAAATGTTTCTGCTCCCTAAGAGCTAATTCTCTCCCCCTTTGGGGGCAATATTATCCCTGTTGAGAATGCATGATATAGGGCCTTATGGGTAATTTTAAGGAATTTGTATATTCTAGGGCACATTAGTTTCTTTTTTTTTTAGATTTATTTATTTATTTTAGTGAGGGAGGGGCAGAGGGAGAAGGGGAGAGAGTCCCTAGCAGACTCTGCACGGAGCATGGAGCCTGATATGGGGCTTGATCCCACGACCCTGAGAACATGACCTGAGCCGAAACCAAGTCAGACGCCCAACCAACTGCGCCACCCAGATGCCCCTCCAGAGCGTATTTGAACTCCAAGTAGTTCAAGACACTAGCTCTATAAACTGCCCACCCAGGGTTCCCCCAGTGCCTGCCAGGCCATAGGCGTCCTATGGGAGAAGACGAAGGAGAGGTGGTGGGAGGACATGCTGGGCATTGTCCCAGCGGGCTCCATGAACCAGAGAGAAGCAGGGGGAGCATGGAGGAGCTTGAGCTCCCAGAGCTCCTGCCCCAGCCGGCGTCCATGTGGGAATACAAGGGGTGTGAACGCCAGGTCCTGATGACCAGCAGCCACCAAACCGTAGGAACTCAATAAACCTTTGTGGGAAAACAAGTGGACGTGAGACCCAGGGTGTGGAGCTCAGAGGAAGTTTGAACTGATCAGGAGCAGCTTCTCAGCTAAGGAGAGAGGGGGCGGGTGCTTGAAGGACGCATTCAAGCGATCATGCGGGGATTCTCTTGGGGCAAGATGGATGCCTGGAACTCCTTCTAACGAGCACAGCCAGGCCGTTCCCTGTTCCCCCGGAGCCTTTTTTGGGCCTCTTATCTCAGTGGCCTTGGGCAGTGGGGGAGGGAGATGCCAGACCATGGGCCAGAGCACACAGAGCACACTCCCCCGACTCTGGCCCTGGCATTTCAGGGTCATGGCCAGAGCCGCATGTGGACCGTGAGATGCTGCTTCCAGGCTGGGGCAAGCAACGATGATTCTTGTGCTTTCCCTTCTAAGAGCCTAGCTGCTAGGAGCCATTGTCAGAGAAGCAAGGCTCCTGGGTGGGGGTTGGAAACTCCCCCTTTGCTTTCCCTGCATCGCTGCTTCCTGAGTCTGAGGAGCAGGGAGAAATCCAGCTCTCCCCATTTCTGCCCTCCCCTCTGGGAGGCCTCCTCTCATGCTCTGGACGGGCATGGGGGGACATACAGGTGTTTCCAGGCCTCAGCAGCATTGCAGCCTGTGGTCCCCAGGACTGTGTGTGCCCTCCACACCCCCTTGTCACTCACGCCCCTGGACCTCTGTCTCCCTCGGGGTTCTCCTGTCTCTGCATCTCCCTTCAGACTAGCCCAGGCTGGTCCCAGGCCCTCTTTAGGGCTGTCACCCTGACTTCAGCAAGATGGGGGTAGATGCTCTCTGCCCAGAGAAAACCCTGATGCTGGTTATGGTAAGAATTGGAGGGAGGGCAGGCGGGCTCTTGGGACAAGGGCTGGGAGAGCCGAAGTGACCTCATGCCCTTTGCACCATGAGTCACACCGAATGGGTATTTTTTCTCCAGACAGCATGCCCTTCTATGCTTCTTGTGTTTCCCCAAACTCTCCAACTCCCTCCAAACCCGGGGCCCTTTCCCTGCATTTCTAACTGGTGAATAACTTCATACCTTTAAAAGAACTGGCTTGGGGTGCCCGGCTGGCTCAGTCCGTGGAGCACGTTAACACCCGATCTGGGTATTGTGAGTTTGAGCCCCACATTGGGCGTAGAGACTACTAAAAATAAATTTAAAAATTAAAAAATAAATGAAAGAACTGGCTCAGAACTAGAGCCCCCCCCGACCCCACACTGTGCCACCGAAGGGTGTGACTTTTCTCTGGGTTCCACAGCCATTTGCATTAACCAAAGCATTTTCGTGTCTCCGGGTCATTTCTTTGCTTGACTGTGTTCACCATTATTAGACTATGAGCTCCCTGGAGGCAGAGAACGAGCAGGTCTTTTTCATGTCTATAAAACTCCTAGCCCAGCCCAGTGCCTGGCACTTGGTAGGTGCTCCATGCTGGGGCCCTCGTGAAAGAGCATCTCAGGAGAGGCTCCATGGGAAAGATGGCCTCTGGGAAAGGCCTTGAAGGCTGTAGGGTTTCGACAGTGTCCCATACAGGAAGGGCCAGGGTGAGCTTTTCCTTTATGTGTTTGCTTGTTTGGTGTCTGTGTCCTCACGATAGAAAGGAAGCTCCGTGGGGACAGGGACATTGTCTTTTGTGTCCCCAAAGCTTGTGCAGTACCTAGCACAGAGTAAGCGTCTGGTATCTATTTAGTGGATGAATGGATAAGGTTCTGCCAGAAAAGTCTTTGTGGAGGTGGGGCTTAGGGGGTGGTCTTTGAAGGAAGCAAAGGAAGGAATTTCTGGGTCCAGGAGAAGTGAATTTGAAATGAGGAAAAGTGGCTGGAGCAGGGACGAAGGAGGTTGCCCGGGAGGGAGCAGGGTAGACAGAATTGAGGGGGTCAGGGACACAGGCGTGATCTGGAGCAGGGCCCCGAGACAAAGGCTCAGGCACAGGAGCCCCGGCACATAGTAGGCCCTCCGTGGCCTGAACAGGCACGTAGTAGGTCCTTTGTGACCTGACCAGAAGGAAGTGGTCGCCTTTACTGGGCATAGGCAGGACTGCACCTACAGGAGTGTGGCCCTCAGCGGGTGGCACCTGAACCAGCACACCAAGGACAGGGAGAAGGGGATGACCAAAGTCTCCCAGGTGTCCTGATGTAAGGATGGAGATGCTGGCTGCTGAGTTAGGAAGAGAAATGGCAATAGCACTCTGAATCAGCTGTAAGTCTGATGAACAAGGCTGACCCCCTAGAGGAAGAAGGGCAAAGTAAACTAGTGCATGAGGCCTTGGAGGCTTCCATTCAGCTCCAATCTATCACAAGAGAGGTCGTCTGGGATCTGAGAACCAAGACAGGCCTCTGTCCTGCACACCAGGCAAGGATGTTTGGGCCACGCATTGGCCAGCAGGGAAAGCAGGGCCGTCTAGCTGGGTGGCCCGTGCTGCCAACCAAGGGACACGTCTGCAAACCTGACTGTCAGACAGGGAGAAACACGGTATGCTCTTCTTATTTGCACTCAGCAAAAATTAGGAAGCACCTCAGTTTGCCAGGCTCTGTCCAGGGACAGTCACACACCTGCTGTGGCTAAGGCCTTGCGGCTATCCCGAAGCTACCTTGCTGCTTCCTTTTCCTTCGAGGGCATGTCTGTGTGTAAGGAGGGGTATGTTCCAGGAGGACCAGCAGAGAATCTTGGATCAGAAGCAGAAACTCCCCCTGTGAGGAGGACCCACTCACCCCCGGGCCTCCCCATCCTCCCACAGGGGAGGAGTCGTTCTTGCCGAGCATCTCCTAGTTGGCCTTGGATGGACTCTTAGAGGGCCGCCCCCAGCAGGCCAGGCTGCCTGTCATCCACAGTGGATGCCCATCCACCTAAACAATCCTAGGTGTTTTTTTTTTTTTTTTTTTTTACAGCTGAGCACACTGAGGCTCCCAGAAGGACTCCCCCAGAGCCACGCACTGAGCAAATGGGGGCAGGTTGCAAACTGCTATCTCCTGTCATTCCAGAAAACTCCACGGCCAGCGTGAGCGAGGCAGAAAGGAAGGCCCAAGTATACTACCGTGCATGTATGAATGAAACCAGGATCGAGGAGCTCAAGGCCAAGCCCCTGATGGAGCTGATTGAGAAGGTGAGTTCCTGGAGCCAGCTTTCCTGACTCTTTTCTGGCCTGTGCCACCTGCCTGCCCCCCTCTCAGGAACCGCTGGGGCCGGGCCACCTCACACCCCCAGCCACCTCACCCAGCTGGACTGTAGAACCTGTCCGGGCTGAGTGTGTCTGAGTGCATGTGTGTGCGCGCTCATGTGCCACACGTCTCTGCAGGTGGGAATCTCTGTATTTGTGGGCGGTATGTGTCAGCATTGTTGTGGATGTCTGTCATGCGTGTATGTGTGTGTGTGTGTGTGTGTGTGTGTGTGTGTGTGTCTGTGCATCTGTGTGTGGGATAAAGGCCATATTTACAGAGAAAATGTTTCTCTACCTTGCTGCTTCCTTTTCCTTCGAGGGCGTGTCTGTGTGTAAGGAGGGGTATGTTCCAGGAGGACCAACAGAGAATCTTGGATCAGAAGCAGAAACCGCCCCCCTGTGAGGAGGACCCACTTACCCCCAGGCCTCCCCATCCTCCTGCAGGGGAGGAGTCGTTCTTGCTGAGCATCTCCTAGTCGGCCTTGGATGGACTCTTGGGGGGCCGCCCACAGCAGGCCAGGCTGCCTGTCATCCACAGAGGGTGGCCGTGGATGTGTTCTGGCTGTCCCATGCTCCCTCAACACCCTGCCTTGTAGCTTGGCTCTGGGAAGCCATCGCAGCAGGATCGGGAGCTGTGGGCACTGGGGATTAGACAGTCCTCCCGTCTGGCACAGGCTCCACCTGCCAGTGTGTGCCAAGCCAAGGAGACTGAGGAGATTATAGAAATCCCAGCTCTGGGGTGCTGGCTGCTCAGTCAGTAGAGCCTGCGACTCTTGATCTCGGGGTTATGAGTTTGAGCCCCATGTTGGGCGTGGAGCCTACTTGAAAAATAAATCCCAGCTCTGAGAGAAACTAGCGACCACTGCTTATCAACCTTTTATTTTTTTCATTTTTTAAAAAAAGACTTTATTTATTTGACAGAGAGAGTGAGCATATAAGCAGGGGGAGCGGCAGGCAGAGGGAGAAGGTGAAACAGGCTCCCCGTTAAGCAAGGAGCCCGATTCGGGACTCAGTCCCAGGACCCTGGGATCATGACCTGAGCCGAAGGCAGACGCTTCACTGACTGAGCCACCCAGGCGCCCTTTTATCAATGTTTTAAAAAAAATACGGTGCTCCCATAAGCACAGTTGATTTATGCTTTAATAGAAATCATATCACGTGATTCAGCATGGGACCAGTGAACAGGGTACGGGAAAAGTCTCCTTCTCACCCCCATCCCCGAGAGCCGCTGCTATGTGGATTCCTTGGCTTGCTTGTTCAGGATCGGTCTCGCTCCAGGCAGCGTCTCCTGTGTGCCGGTCAGAAACTCTGATGAAGGCCTTCCCTTTCATTTGCTCTTGAGGCTCAGAGAGGTCAGATGACCGCTCCAGGGTCGCAGAGCCAGTCAGCGGCAGGAGCAGAATTCACGCTGGGGTCTCCCTGCCACCTCACAGTTCCCTCGCCCTCCCCACAGCTAGGGGGCTGGAACATCACCGGGCCCTGGGACAAAGACAACTTCCAGGACACTCTGCAGGTGGTCACCTCTCGCTACCGCACCTCGCCCTTCTTCTCTGTCTATGTCAGTGCCGACTCCAAGAATTCCAACAGCAACGTGATCCAGGTGAGCCGGCCTAGAACCCTAGGAAGAGGAATGGGCATATTTTGAGTTTCCCCTCATGACCTGTTTTGAGTTTTGCAAGTGCCAGAGTAGGGGCAGACTTGCCCTGGGTGACAGGCTCCTAGTTTCTGAGCCTTGGTTATTTCTGGAGTCTCTGAACCATGAGATTTTTATAGGCGAGAAGTCATGAAACAGCAGGCCACTATTTTCAGGGGTGGGACGGGGACGGGGAGGGGGGGGCGGTCACCACGGCACAGGTGCATCTCCGGGATTCTGATCGGTCACTGTGGGCCCCAAGAGTGATGTCAACTCCTAGACACAGCTAAAGCCACCTCCTGGTCCCCCAACCTCAGCCCCTGGCCGTTTTGGCTCTGCTTGGAACGTCTCTGAGTCCGTCTCTTCCGGCCAGAGCCTGCCCTACTTTGTGTCGGCACACCCAGGGAAGCCCCCGACTGCCCACCCTCAGATGCAGAAGCCAGGAGCCCAGACTGGGCTGAGGTTCCCACCCAGCTCTGTGGCTCCCTCGTCACGTGACCTCAGACAAGTGCTTCCACCTCTGTGAGCCACAATTTCCTTACCGATCAAAGGGACTGTAGTAATACCAGGGTGTGGCCACAAGGCTCTGCTAGTTGCTAGTCAGGAGTCAACCCTCCCCTACCTGCCGGACCCTCAGCACATCCTCTCCTGGCAATCTCTCCTTGAATCCTCTCTCCAGCTCTGAGGGTGAGATTCTAGTTCCCCAATTTTCCAGGGAAAGAACCGGGAGATCAGAAACCTTCAGTAACTTGACTAAGGCCATGCCGGGTGTGAGTAGCTCTTAACCACTGCACCGTCTTGGGAAGTATTTCGTTAAGTGGAGGTGCGGTACCCCGCCCAGGGGCCTCCGCAACCAGCTTCTGCTCCTGCTGGGGCCCAGCCTGGTCCCGCGTTGCCATGTACCAGCTGTCCCCGCAGTGGACCGTGTACACGTGTGACAGGAGCGCCCCTCACTCCTGTCTTCCTCTCTCCAGGTGGACCAGTCTGGCCTGGGCTTACCCTCAAGGGACTATTACCTGAACAAAACCGAAAATGAGAAGGTGAGTGTGATCCAGAGGGAGTGGCTCCCAGCCCACCCCCCACGACGTTCTACCCTGTTGATGTCCCCTCAGTGCCCACACCCCACGACGTTCTACCCTGTTGATGTCCCTC